GCGGGCTGCCTTCTGCAGAAGGTCCAGAAGTCTCTGCCTCTGGAATAGGGGACCTCAGTGGACTTCCTTCTGGAAGAGAAGGTCTAGAGACCTCTGCCTCTGGAGTAGGGGACCTCAGCGGGCTGCCTTCTGGAGTGGAGGGTCATCATCCAGAGACTTCTGCTTCTGGAGTAGGGGACCTCAGTGAATTTTATTCTGGAGGGGAGGGTCTGGAGACCTCTGCTTCTGGAGCTGAGGAACTCAGTGGGTTGCCTTCTGGAAAAGAAGACTTGATTGGGTCAGCTTCCGGAGACTTGGACTTAGGCAGAATACCTTCTGGAACTCTAGGAAGTGGGCAAGCTCCAGAAGCAAGTGGCCTTCCATCTGGATTTAGTGGTGAGTATTCTGGGGTGGACCTTGCAAGTGGCCCATCCTCTGGCCTACCTGACTTTAGTGGACTTCCCTCTGGATTCCCAACCGTCTCCCTGGTGGATACTACATTGGTGGAAGTGGTCACGGCCACCACTGCAAGTGAACTGGAAGGGAGGGGGACTATTGGCATTAGTGGTGCCGGAGAAACATCTGGGCTGCCCTTCAGCGAGTTGGACATTAGTGGGGCAGTTAGCGGACTCCCGTCAGGAGCTGAACTCAGTGGCCAAGCCTCTGGGTCTCCTGACATCAGTGGGGAAACATCTGGATTCTTTGGTGTCAGTGGACAGCCATCAGGATTTCCTGACATCAGCGGGGGAACATCTGGGCTTTTTGAAGTCAGTGGGCAGGCATCAGGGTTTTCTGGGGAAACATCTGCAGTGACTGAGCTCAGTGGACTGGTCTCCGGCCAACCAGATGTCAGTGGAGAAGCTTCTGGAGTTCTTTCTGGCAGTGGTCAACCATTTGGCATAACCGACCTGAGTGGGGAAACATCTGGGGTCCCTGGTGTCAGTGGCACGACCTCTGGAATCCCTGACCTGGTTCCCAGTGCCGTGAGTGGCAGCGGTGCATCTTCTGGCATTACATTTGTGGACACCAGTTTGGTCGAAGTGACCCCAACTACATTTAAAGAAGAAGAAGGCTTGGGGTCTGTGGAACTCAGTGGACTCCCTTCAGGGGAGGCAGGTCTGTCAGGCACATCTGGGATCATGGATGTCAGTGGACAGTCTTCTGGAGCAGTTGACTCCGGCGGGTTTACCTCCCCGCCTCCAGAATTCAGTGGCCTGCCAAGTGCAGTAGCTGAGGTCAGTGGAGAATCCTCCGGGGCAGAGATTGGGAGCAGCCTGCCCTCAGGAGCATATGACGGCAGTGGACTTGCTTCTGGTTTCCCCACTGTCTCTCTGGTAGACAGGACTTTGGTGGAATCTGTAACCCAGGCCCCAACAGCCCAAGAAGCGGGAGAAGGGCCTTCGGGCATTGTGGAACTCAGTGGTGCCCATTCTGGAGCACCAGACGTGTCTGGAGACCATTCGGGATTTTTGGACCTGAGCGGGCCGCAGTCCGGGCTGGTGGAGCCCAGTGGGGAGCCATCAAGTACTCCGTATTTTAGTGGGGACTTTTCTGGCACTGTGGATGTTAGTGGCGAATCTTCTGCAGCCACGGGCACCAGTGGAGAGGCCTCAGGACTTCCAGAAGTCACTTTAATCACTTCTGAGTTCGTGGAGGGTGTCACTGAACCAACGGTGTCCCAGGAACTTGCACAAAGACCCCCTGTGACACACACACCCCGGCTTTTCGAGTCCAGTGGAGAAGCCTCTGCGTCTGGGGAAATTAGTGGAGCCACCCCCACGTTCCCCGGGTCTGGGGTAGGATCGGTCCCGGAATCCAGCAGTGAGACACCTGCCTTTCCTGAGGCTGGACCGGGGGCGTCTGCTGCCCCTGAGGTGAGCGGAGGGGCTTCCGGGTCCCCTGATGTAAGTGAAGCCACCTCCACCTTCCCTGACGCTGATGTGGAGGGAGGCTCAGGCCTGACGGTGAGCGGCAGCACCTCAGCCTTTCCGGAAGGCCCCGGGGAGGGCTCGGCCACCCCGGAAGCACAGGAGGAGCCAACCACCACCCACGATGTGGGCACAGAGGCATCGGGCTGGGCTTCGGCCACTCCAGTGGCTTCTGGAGACAGGACTGAAATCGGTGGAGACCTGTCTGGTCACACGTCAGGGCTGGACATGGTCATCAGCACCAGCGTCCCAGAGTCTGAATGGACCCAGCAGACCCAGCGCCCTGCAGAGGCACACCTAGAAATCGAGTCCTCAAGCCCCTTGCACTCAGGAGAAGAGACCCAAACAGCCGAAACAGCCACCTTCCCCACAGATGCTTCCATCCCAACTCCTCCAGGAGGGACAGATGAATCCGCGGTAACCATTGCAGGTATTGTTGGGATTTCTTTTTTTCCTTAAATGTGTTCGGGGAGTTCAGGCTGTAGCATAGTAGGAGGCAGTGTAAATTCAAGCTTCACTACAGATTAGCTGTGCAGCCTCAGGTAAGTTTCTTAACCTCTCTGAGCCTCCCCTGTAAAAGGGGAATAGTACCAGGGACTATTAAACAGGATATAAATATATACCGAGCAAGCACTTAGCGTCCTGCTTCTCACATGGCACACACTTAGTGATTAGTGGTTGTTACTGTTACAGTGGCGTTACATCACAAGAACATTGATATGTGAATTCAACTATCTGTACTTGGCAGAGGGAGAGAGGAGGATGACTGTTTACACGATGCTAGAAATTCTACTCACGCCCCTTCCCCGTGGAGTTTCTCTTTCTTCGTGAGAGGAGAGAACGAATCTGATGACATCTATGCCCAGATATTTATTTCGTGTAGGGATAAGACCTGCACAATTTAGGAAAGTATGAAGTGCATCTTGGCTGTCCTAAAGTGTCATTTAGTCCCCACCCCAGTACAGGTGACTTCTCTGTACAATGGTGATGGTCTCACCTCGATGCAGCCCAAGCACCAGGCACTGGAAGCCGATGATTTTCCCCTGCTTTTTGCCTTGGGATCCCTTGCCCCTCCCTCTGGGCTGAGAGACCTTTCCCGGTCAAAGAGCCCCACCCCCTCCCCCAGGATGCTAGGGCTAGGTGCCCAAGAAGGACAGAGACTCCAAAAACATGCTGACCCAAAGCAGCCTTGTGGGCTTCAGGGGTCCTTGTGCCCCGACCTTGAGGTCACAACCCCAGGCCGCTGTGTTCTTGACGCTCAGCATCTCCCTGAGAGTCACAGCCCCTGCCAGGTCCTGTGCCAAGGAGCCCTGTGGCAGTGCAATCTGCCAGGAGACAGAGGGACACATCACATGCCTGTACCCCCCTGGCCCCACCGGCAAGAACTGCAACATAGGTAAGACCCTCATCGGCCGTGGGGGTGCAGGCAGGGGCAGGAGGGCGACTCCTTCGTCCCTAGAAGGGGCCACAGGTCAGAGGAGGCAACCGAGGCCAGCGGAGGCTCGGGCTTCTCAGACCGGAGAGGAGAGGTATGCAGTGATGCATCCGCGTAGAAGCCACAGGGTAAACATTCTACTCTACGTGGAGTTTACGAGATAAAGTTCAAGTAGTTAAACTAAAAGGTAGTTCATCTTTTTGTTAAGCCAAAGATTGTTTTTAAATTTTTTTAATATTTATTTTGAGAGAGAGACAGACAGGGCATGAGCGGGGGAGAGGCAGAGAGAGAGGGAGACACAGAATCCGAAGCAGGCTCCAGGCTCCCAGCTGTCAGCTCAGAGCCCGACACGAGGCTCGAACTCATGTGAGATCATGACCTGAGCCAAAGTCGGATGCTTAACTGACTGAGCCACCCAGGCGCCCCAAGCCAAAGATTGTTTTATGAGTCAAACACAACATATGCTTGAATTTTGAAGGGAAAACATCAGTTCTGAGAAGTGTGGAGCGAGGATGTAGACGGGAAAGAGCAGGTCATGCCTCCGAGAGGGCTGTCTTGCATCGGGCCGAGCCACCCTCTCTGGGAAAGCGCTGCAGACCCCTCCGTGCCTGGCCCTGAGCGGAGTTCGGGTCCCCTTCTTGCCCTGAGGGAAACGGCAGGCAGTACTTACTTGTCATCCCCAGCTCCAGGGTTCACGGTGGCAAGTCGGCCATGACCTGGCAGCCCCCTGCCCCTGGGCACCCACCACCCTGGGGCCCTCTGTCCTTAGCCATGGGTGAAGCAGCTTGTGGGACAGGTGAGGAGCCTGGGGAGTCCTCTGACTGGAGGTGGCGCCCCGAACGAGATGATGAGAATCTACCCGTGTTCCCTGAACACTTGGAGGTCTGTGGCCATGCGAACACTTCATTTTGTCAGATCGCCACCCGGAAGGGAAGAGATGCCCAGTTACCTCCAAGCTCATTCTCTTGGGTTGGGTCTCCGCACTGCCCCCACGCCCTCACCGCAGCCTCTGTCCCAGGGTCTTTCCTAGGACATGTGCAAAATCAGAGCCATGAGTCCTGGGGGGAAGCAAATACTACTAGACAAATAGGGCTGGGCACCTATCCTCCAGGAGCCGTTACATCGTGCACAAGGAAAGATTTTTGTGTTTGTATATATTGACATATATGTAAATACCTCCTAATATATGCTCATGTAATACAAATATGCTGTATATACACAGCATACACAGGAAATATTCTGTATAAACAGGCACTAGGTTGACTATGAATTCACTCTTTTCTCCACTTGGGTCAGCCTCTGGCCAAGTGTCAAGGCCGTGATTAAGAGCACTGGGGGCCTCTGTGGCCAGAGGGGTGGACTCTCCTAGGACAGTCCTGGCCCTGCCACCTAGGAGGCAGTATGTCACAGGGCCACAGTCACCTCAGGGGCTAGAGTCACGTGCCTCGTCATCCACCTCGATGGGAGGGCAGGGCACTGCCTCTGTCCTGAGAGAGGCTGCCCCTGCAGGAACCCTGGGGAGGCCCTGTGTGTGTGCTCTCCAGCTAGTGGGGCTCTGACTCCTCGGTCAGCAGTGGGAATGGCTCTGTCTGTCCTGTGAGTGGCAACCCTGGCGGACATCATGTCTGGTGTGCAAGCACTTCCTCCCTCCGGGTGTGCGGGGGTGGGGGGGGGGGGGGGGGGGGGGGGGGAGGACAGCAGGGCCGCCTGTCTCGAGTGAGGTGTTAAGGGAGCTCAGCCTGAGTCGGAGAGGAGCAGACTCGGAGCCCAGCAGGACTTCCTGGACAGTCGCCAGGACCAGAACGCCCTCGCCCTCTTTTCGTGTCTTCTGACACCTCCCTCCATCCTTAGCAACTCCTTCCCTAAGCAAAAACGGGACACTGGGATCAGAAGTCACAGCAGGGCTCATGAAATGAGAAGTAGGTGGCAATCGACCCTAATTGATCTGCTGGAAGGACAGCCCTTCTCTGACCGGGTGTATTTCCAAAGGGCTTTCTTCCCCACGATTTCCTCCCAGACAGCTCTGTGGGTAGCTTGGCAGTTATCCCCCTTCGAAACGGAAGCACAGAGCGGTCAAGTAATTTCCCTCACCCCTTTGAGTGAGTCAAATGCAGAACAGGGGTCTTCATTCACTTGTTTAACACGCTCAGCCAAGTAGGAAGCTCCCTCTTGAACATAATAATCAGTTGCCGGTCTTAAAGAGCCGGAAGATGAACTTCAGGGCGACCAGAATGGAGAGAGGTTTTAGAAGTGGGGCTTGGCCAGTGAGAAACCCACAGCCAAGCCCTTACTACCTCGTTTGTAATAGGGTCAATCAAAGGTAGTGGTTCTCAGCTTTAGAAAATTCTGAGGCCTGGGGTCCCACTCCCACAGATTCTGATTGAAATGGTCCTGTGACCTTGGCACTGGGTTGTTTTCTTTTATTTATTGTTTTTAATGTTTATTTATGTGGGGGGAGGGGCAGAGAAAGAAGGAGAGAGAATCCCAAGTAGGCTTCTCCCTGTCAGCGCAGAGCCCGACGCAGGGCTTGAACTCAGGAACGGTGAGATCTGGCATGGGCGGGGGTTAAGACCACCCAGGTGACTCCACTGTGCGGTCAGTGCTGAGAAACTGAGGAATAAGGAATACCTGAGTACAGCATCTGGCCCAAAAAAGTATTAATAAAAATTACTTCTGGGGCGCCTGGGTGGCTCAGTCAGTTAAGGGTCCGACTTCGGCTCAGGTCACGATCTCGCGGTCCGTGAGTTCGAGCCCCGCGTCGGGCTCTGTGTTGACTGCTCAGAGCCTGGAGCCTGTTTCAGATTCTGTGTCTCCCTCTCTCTCTGACCCTCCCCCGTTCATGCTCTGTCTCTGTCTGTCTCAAAAATAAATAAATGTTTAAAAAAAAATTTAAAAAGAAATTACTTCTGTTTCCCCATCTCTTACTCTGCTGGTTAGGGAAAGCTTTATCATCCCAAAGAGCAGGTGTCGAGGATGCTTCCGAAAGGCCGGAGGAGCATGCTAATCTCCACAGGTGACCCACTGTTGTCCTGTGCTGGGACTGGGAAACACAGGCTGTTGAAAGACTATAGGTCAGTGTTCTCCAGGCACCAGAGGGAGCAAGCTATAGCATTATTCCTGTGGCAGTGTTTGAATACTCAGGGTCATCTTTCACCTAATAAGTGAGGTTGGAGGCTGTGTTTCGTCCTTAAAAGAAAGTATTTGACAGTTGCCATCAGCTTGTTTTGTCAACATGCCGTAGACAAGTTCTTGACAAATTATTCATCTGTACTCCTGATGACTAGTCAGATTCTTTAGCGATTAGAAGCAGGGCTATGCCACTCCCATCCACTTAAAAAGCAGCAGCGGTGCCACCTGGGTGAGTCACTCGGTTAAGCGTCCGACTCTTGACTTCGGTTCAGGTCACTATCTCATGGTTTGTGAGATCGAACCCTGTGTCAAGCTGTGCGCTGAATGCAGAGCCTGCTTGGGATTTTTCTCTCTCCCTCTCTCTCTGCCTCTTCCCCTGATCACACTCTCTCTTTCTCTCAAAATAAGTAAATAAACTTTAAAAAAAAAAAAAAAGGCAGCAGCATCTGCCCCACCTATGTTGCTGACATTTGCTGAGCTTTCTGGCTCTGAGGTTTTAAACCCTGTTGCTCCTTGGAATCACCTGGATGCTTTTTTAAAGTCACTGCACCTGGGCCCCACCTGGAGCTACTCTGATGCGATCATTGGTCTGAAGAGGGTCTCTGGCATTGGTATTTTTTAAAAATCCTTTTTAAAGACGTGTTAACTACAGGGTGTAACTACGTGTACACCCAAGGTGGGAACATGCTACCTCACGTCCAATTTCCCGGCCATCCCCGGTGCCGGGTGGATTTCTCTAAACTCTGGGGTTGGAAGGGCGTGAACTTAAAATTTAATCAGCCTCTTTTCGGTCTTAACCACCATTCTCCATTTTGTAGGCTTGAGACTCCGATCTGTGATCTGACACGGTCTCTTCCCCTATAGCAGAAATGTTTGAAGTTCAGTGAAATCTTAGCCCTGGGTGGGGAAAATGCTTTCAGAGCAAGTGAAAATACAAGGTTACAAGTGAAAACACAAATCACACCTTCATGACTTGACATAACTAAAAAGTCTACGGGCAGGTTTTAACAGGGAACTAAGGTTGGCCCTTGAATAGCACTGGGGGTTGGGGGTGCAGCCCCCATATGGTCGACAATCTGCGTATAAATTCTGACCCCCCCCCCAACTACTAATAGCCTACTGTGGACCAGAAGCCTTAGTGATAACATAAACAATCGATTAATACTTATTTTGTATGTTCTGTGTATTATATGGAACTCTTTTTTTATGTTTTATTTATTTTTGAGAAAGAGAGAGCATGAGCAGGGAAGGGCAGAGAGAGAGAGGGAGAGAGGATCCGAAGCAGGCTTTGTGCTGACAGCAGTGAGCCCAATGCGGGGCTGGAACTCACAGGCTGTGAGATCACAACCTGAGCTGAAGTCAGACGCTCAATCGACCGAGCCACCCAGGTGCTTCTATGTATTGTATTCTTATAATAAAATAAGCTAGAGAAAAGAACATCATGGGGGGGGCGGGCACCTAGTTGCCTCAGTCAGTAGAGTGTGTGACTCCTGAGCTTGGGGTCATGAGTTTAAGCCCCACATGGGGCATAGAACTTAATTTTTAAAAAGGAAAATTATAAGGAAGAGAAAATACATTTACAGTACTGTACTGTAAAAAATCTGCATGTAAGTGGACCTACACACAAACCCATGTTGTTCAGAGGTCAACTATAATTGAATTTAAGAAGCAGGATATTAAAGTTACATTCAGGATCAACCTTTAGAAATATAAGACCTAATTGTACAGTTATAGCATACTGTTTAATGATGTTTATTTTTTTAAGTTTGTTTATTTTTGAGAGAGAGAGAGAGAGTAGGAGCAGGAAAGAGACAGAGAGACAAGAGAGAGAGAAAATCCCAAGCAAGTCCACACTGTCAGTACAGAGCCCAGCATGGGGCTTGAACCCACAAACTGTGAGATCATGACCTGAGCCAAAACCAAGATTGACTGAGCCACCCAAGCGTCTCGTCACGTTTATTTTTTTTAAGTTTTTTAAATTTATTGTATGTGAGAGAGAGAGCAAATGGAAGGGGCAGAGGAGGGGGGAGAGAGAATCCCAAGCAGGCTCTGCACTGTCAGCACAGACCCCAATGCGGGGCTCGAACTCACGGACCATGAGAACATGACCTTAGCTGAAACCAAGAATCCGACGCTTAACTGACTGAGCCACCCAGGCATCCCCTATCATGTTTATGTTAAAAGCAAATTGGAACTGATAAATATGTTCTTGCAACCCTCCTATCAATTGTGATAGACCAGAAAGCAAATGTATTTACTCGGGTCTGTCCATCTGATTGATCCTAGGTCTTTGTAGGGTGCAGAACATCCACTGGGTTAAGAAATGGTCTCTGTGCTTCTTGAGGGGATTTTCTCCCATCTTTGTCCAGGAAAGTTATGTCCAGGATCACCACATATAGCTGCACAGGTTGTACACTGAACAATTTGAGGGTTACCATTCATATCACAGTCTTTATGATTGGCAACCCCTTCAGTTGGGTATCACCTGAGTAAAATACCTGCTGTCACTCAGCCTTTTCTATGAGCCAAATAAAGTCCCTCTCCCTTGGAGGGTCTTAGGCTCTGACAGGAGCAAAAACCAGACAAGACCTGTTCAGCATGGAGGCCTGAGGTCTCCAATTCAGATGCCAAAGTGATCACTTGGAAATATCTTTATTCCCCTTGCCTTTACCGGGGGATTCTCTGTTATTTTCTCCCCTAAGTTGGAGGTATCTCTAAGTTGGAGGTATCTAGAGATACCTAGGTATCTCTAGGTATCTCTAGAACAAATCATCCCTTTTGGTGATAGTAGTAGGGAGAGGACTCCGTTCTGACACTCCCCAGGGTTCCTGCTCAGAGATGACAGGGGAGCCCTTGGCCGGTGCAGCAGAAATGGTAACGAGGCGCTGAGATCCAAGACTTCAGTGTCCCTCTCCCTCCCCAGGGGACAGAGGCCCAACTTCCAGCCTCAGTGTCAGATTCTTCCACCTCTTCCAGTCTGTCCCCCTGGCTTACCTACGTGGGCAGGCCACTTCTCGTGTTCCCCTACCTGTACTGCGACATGTGACACCTGTGCCCCATAGGGCTCCTGGGAGGGTCACGTGTGGGGGACACTTAGCATCTGGCTCAGGGAAGATTGTGAAAGACCGGTTCCTTCTCTTTCCTCTCTTCCTTCATGCGGTCTGCCCATTGCCCAAAGCCCTTCCGTCCCCCGCCCTCTGTCACCCTGTCTGGGGTCCCCCATTCTGTGCTCAGCCCAGCTCAACTCCTCTTGCGGTTCCAGAAGATGAGCAATGTCCCCACTGCCCTTCACAGAAAGAGGTGGGCACTGCCAGGCTGCGGTGGCTCTTCCAGCCAGAGGGAGAGGAGATGGGGCAGGACAGGCCTGCGGGGCTCCCGGGAAAGCCCCACAGGGGACGCTCGGCCCTCTTCCTCCGGCTGAAGGCCCCCCCGCTCTAAACTGCCCAGCTGGCACCCACGGGCTCTCTGGTCTTCTCATTGGTGAACCCCGGGCCCTGCACAACACAGCTTCTGAACCCAGGAACTGGTTCCCCGAGTTGCGGTCTCTCACCCTGCTCAGATTGTGTGCCAAAGCCAGGAGGAAAAGGACACTGCCGACCCCCCCCCCCCCCCCGGGGCCTCAGGCCACCTGGGGGCCAATGATGTGAAGGGAGCCACTTGGCCTGACTTCCTGCCCCTCCCCCACGGTTGGCCAGAGGCCCCAGGGCCGATGTCTGGCTCTTCTCCCACAGGCCACTCCTGTCCCCTGCTCTGTAGAACTGCTTTAGCGCCTACATTTGCTTAATCCCCCCTCGCCCAGGTGCTTCCTGTGACCCATAATGACGCTTAGTGGACAAAAGAGAACAGGGGCTCTCCTGGAGCAGGAGAGCAGCCCCAGCTTCCGCCCAGCCCACCGGCCTGACCTATTGCTGCTACTGCTGCTGCTGGGAATCCTGGTGCATGCTGGGAATCCAAGTGCATGCTGGGACTCCGGTCAGTTCCTCCATGCATTTTGGTTTCGCTTGGAACAGTTCCAACCTTGGAACTGTTTGGTTTCTAGTCCGTGGTGTGCACTCCCCGAGATGAAGGTAAGAACTCCGTGGGAACAGAGAGACACCTGAGGACTTGAGTGCGTGGGAACCGGCCACCCACTGCACAAACCCAACTCTGATCCTGAAGACGTCTACTGTGCACCAGCTAGCAAAAAGGATCCACAAGAAAGTGTTCTTGACTTCTTAGGAGGGGACTGACTCTAAGGTCTAGGCTGCTGCTATGAGAGGCGAGAACTAATCCTGGAACATGTGCAAGACGCTGCTCACGTGGACGCCACCTGTGGATATGTCGGGTCCTGAAGGTGGTGCAAACACAGCTGCACACACTGAGGCTTTGCCATATATCGTGATGCCCCATGAGCCAGTGGCACCCATTCATTGAAGCATCTTATTGACCCCCTGGGAAGAAGAGCTTCATAAGACCTTTTAGCAAGTTCCCAGGGGAAGTACCCCAGAAAAAAACCAGCAGCGGCCTTTATGATATAAATACGAAGAGAGTAAAAGATCCCCAGGTCTCTGGCTTCTCAGAAAGACATGGAAAAACTGGAAAGACATGGAGAATTGGAGATCCAGTTCTCACCTTGGCTACTGGATGAAAATTTGAGGCGAAGACCAATGACTTAACAGCTCAAGTCCCACAAAGAAGTTGGATCAGAAAGAACATCTTGGGCCCGAAGAACAGAAGGGAGGAAGAGTGTGCCTGGGAGGAATAAGCCTGCCGTACCTCAGGGTGATAGGTGGCCACTTACTAAGTGGCTCACCAACTTTATTTATTTATTTATTTATTTATTTATTTATT